ATCACGTCTTCCAGGAGTTGTCCAAACAGGACACTCTTGTCTGGTCACGTCTTCCAGGAGTTGTCCAAACAGGACACTCTTGTCTGATCACGTCTTCCAGGAGTTGTCCAAACAGGACACTCTTGTCTGGTCACGTCTTCCAGGAGTTGTCCAAACAGGACACTCTTGTCTGGTCACGTCTTCCAGGAGTTGTTCAAACAGGACACTCTTTTCTGGTCACGTCTCCCAGCAGTTGTCCAAACAGGACACTCTTGTCTGGACACGTCTTCCAGCAGTTGTCCAAACAGGACACTCTTGTCTGGACACATCTCCCAGCAGTTGTCCAAACATGTTTTAATCTGAATCTAATTTAAACGTATGTTTGTCTTTTTTAATGTTGGAAGTTTATTTTAAGATAAGGTGTCTATCAGCTAGCAAGTTAAATTTACTTAAAAGCCAGCTGTTGAATGGCATCAATCCATCATAGAAACCAGTTGACGTGGATACACGAGTATTGTACATAATAATCTTCAAGCTGTCTACATGCGCGTATTTCGAGTGCTGTAATAGAACCCTTTTAGTACAAGTGTCCAGTAGAGTCTGGATGACCTTGACGTACAACTTACACGTGTCCAGTAGGAAGTCTGGTTGACCTTGACGTACAACTTCAACCATTTCGAAACCATGAAGTTTGGGACAACTATTCCGTTCAACTTCATGAATACGTTAGTTCAGCAACTATCAAGTTTCAACTTTATCCGCCCATGTGCTTTCCAGATTTCATTTCAATTTAAGAAGATCGCAGGGACAGGTTCTTTAAGCACAGACACAGTAGATCATTTTCTTGACGCACGTGAAAGGTAGATTGGATTTAGAAGCTAGCGACCATCTCGGGTACTTTATTAGATAGCAACACTAATGACGTCCCCTAAGGTCACTCAACATCTTATACTTCAAAAGGCTGTTATCCACGTATTATTGTATTTAAGCTGTTGATTGTGCTTGAACTACACGAGGTGTCATCACTATATATATATGGATCGGTGGGCCTTTAAAAAAAGGTCTTTTGTGAGCCCTTCATGTTTGTAACAGTTTGTAATTTTTTCCTGATCTTTTTTTTTTTCATTTATTTATTCAGTGTTCGAGATTGGGCAAGAGGCTTATTTGTTTTAGTTACATCACAAAAAAAATATTATTCAGAACTTGTAAATGTAAACAGGCGTTTTATCAATTAGTAAACTAAAAGCTTCTTTTTTGGAACACTGAAGAAGCAAGCGGTGATTGTTTTGGAGTCATTTCCGGTTATTGAGATATAGCAACACGCTTATAATGATAGATCTTAAACCAATGTCGTTGTTTTTTAAACAGCAACATATCTGTGTAGTACTTAGCACGAAACGTCATTAATCACCATTAGAACACAACTTGGCAGCGTGAGTCTTTTGGAAGAGATAGGCCTAGTCTCAAAAGAAAGTCATTTAAGTAAAATAAATACTTTGATGTTTATAAACATCATAAGCCTAATTCTGTTATGTTTCGACTGAAGTTAAATTAATAGAAGTTAACGTTAACCAATTTAAAACTAGATTACTTCTGAACAGTTGTTCTTCGGGCAACTGGTGATACAAATAACGTTCTCGACCACAACAATATCTGTCGTATCCCAGCAAGGCTGATGAGTCTCGACACTGAACGAAAGGCCTCGTTGGCACTGGATAAATCAGTTATTGTGTGGTTGAAGAATTTTTTTTTTACTCTAACTATTGTATTCTTATAATTAAATTTACCAAAGGACTCGCTCCTTGGAACCTATATATATAATATTTTGTCTGTAGTTGAAACGTTTATTGTGTCGACTCCAAGGGTACCATCCAATCTGTTAGAAGTAAGACAAATGTATTTAATATTAAACTGAGACAAACTGTGAAATTTGTAAGAATATAAATATTTGAAAACCACTTCATTTGTAACACTCAGTTCTGCGACTGTGTAATTCCGAGAGAACTATTTTTTCTTTATTTTTCCAACCTTCACGACAGTGTTAAAGCCATCAACAACTATTACAATTCGTAAAAAGACGAGTGCATATAAAAACTTGTTTTTTTTTTTTTGAGGATTAACACGGTCAGTGACAGTTTCATTGTCTTTCACAGTGTGTGTGAACCAAGCTTTAACAAACAAGAAACAAAAAGGAAAATTGTTTATGAACAATGGAGTATTAATACATAAATATAAAATGTATTATAGTAAAAAAATTGGGGAACATTCTAATATAGTTTTATTGCGTGGATTTCTCTTAAGGATTAATTATTCGAAATCGTATGATATTTTATTTTCCTTTAAAAAAGTTGTCTAAGCCAGGTAGGATGTGACTATTATCGATCTCCGGTGATTGAGCACAAAAAGCTTTTAAATTCTGTTCTGTATAAGAGGTACGTGTACATTTTAATGTGGTATACTTTATAGCTATTTTCTTGACGTCACGGTCCCTGTTAACGCTGTAATCTCGTTTCAATCACGGGCGAATACTTGTTTATTTGCATTAGCGCTAACATTGGCAACTCCCAACCTGCACTGCGGTGTTTTTCGCAACACCTTTTTCTTTTTTTACACCAGACACCCACTAAGCGGCTCGTAACGAACACCCACTAAACGGCTGGTAATGATGCTGCCTTTACGGTGGATTGGGCCCGTGGCCAACACGAAGGTCACGGGCAAATATGAAGTAGAAGTTAAACTTTTAGCTACCACTTAAAACAGAAAACTTAGAAAGCACGGTTCGAGCTTCGGATTTTTGAAAAGAGCAATAATTATCTTCATCCACCATGTCAGGAACTAACTCGGTCGTGTCATATTTGAAGTTGATGTGTGAGTCATATCCTTTTTCTAACTTGAAAATAAACTCGGTAAGAATAAAACCGTGTAAACAAGTTTCCTAGATCATGACAGTAATGGTGTAGCAGTGTTCAGAATAAGTGCTGGTTTTATTTGTCTAACTTACTGCTAGCAGATCTAAATATAACCAGAGCCAGAACTGCGTCCGGACGATGAAAAGGGAAAAGAAAATATTAGCATGCAAGTTTTTCACTATCTTGTGGTTAAATAAAGGGCTAAAGTTCAGTAAAAACAAAATAAAAACTTTGAATTTGAATCAATTACTATTACTTTACCCCCCCCCCCACCACACACACTGATATTATAGGGGCTGTGTGAAAGTCCTTAAAAT